TCCCATTCAGTCTTCTAATCTTCTTTCTCTTCTCTTCTATCAGTCTAACACTAATCTATAAAAGAGACATAATACAATCAGAATCCCTTCCAAACACATAATCTCATCATACATATTATTGATGGTGATTATTAGTATTTTGTTTGTTGTTGTCTCACCTCATTAAATACTAAAAAGGCTAATCACCACAATATTTGGAGCTACAGGTAAAAACAAGCTAATAAATGCAGATTAAACAGATGGTTATCTCTTCCTCCATCATTCTCAGATCATGCAGATCTTGTCTCATTCAGTTTTCCATATACTGCCTCCTATTTTTTATAATGAGGAACTTTCATATATCCAAACTGAGTGGTAGAAAAGTAGACCTAAGCCTGGAAGTCTGTTACTTCAAGGCTGGACTATTGTAATTCTTTACAATCAGGAAGTCCACAAACTGTAGTTAAAAGCCTTCAGCTGATCCAAAATGCTGCAGCCAGAGTTCTGATGAAAATAAAAAAGAGAGATCATATCTCTCCTATCCTGGCTTCTCTGCATTGGCTTCCTGTTAAATCCAGAATAGAATTTAAAATCCTCCTTCTCACATATAAAGCCTTAAATGGCCAAGCTCCATCTGATATCAGAGATCTGATTGTTCCTTATGTTCCTAACAGAGCACTTCGCTCTCAATCTGCAGGTTTACTAGTGGTTCCTAGAATTTCTAAAAGTAGAATGGGAGGCAGATCTTTTAGTTATCAGGCTCCTCTCCTGTGGAACTAACTACCACCCTGACTACTTCTAAGGCTAGGCTTAAAACTTTCCTTTTTGATAAAGCTTATAGTTAGAGTGGCTCAGGTTATCCTGAGCTATCTCTATAGTTATGCTGCTATAGGCTTAGACTGCTGGAGGACATAGGGACCCCCATTTCATCATTCTGCTTCATTCTGTCTCTATTCTCCTACTCTGCAGAATCTGTTAGTTCAATCTCTAACGTTCTGCTCTCTCTGCTTTTTCTCATAGTAGCTTCATCTGGTCTGTTCCTGATTGGCTGTGACTCCATCCTGGAGAGAAACATCAGCTGTGCTGCTGCCATCAACACCTTTGATTATAGATGTTGGAGATCGGCCTGTTTTTCAGTGTGGTCCTGTTTCTCTGACTGTGACTGGCTGGATGTGCTCTCTTCATCGTCTGACATGGCAGTTGGCTCAGAGGTCGTCTGCCTGGCTGTGTGTTTCCTGGACGTGGCGCCTTTTACAGCTGCTTTTTGTATCTCTGCTTCTGTCTCCTTGAACCCCAGTCGGCCTCAGCAGATGGCCGCTCACACTGAGCCTGGTTCTGCTGGAAGTTTCTTCCTGTTAAAAGGAAGTTTTTCCTCTCCACTGTCGCTACAAGCATGCTTAGTGTGAGGGATTGCAATCGAGTCAATGAGTCCATCCAATTAACTGGTTTTTTGAACCAATCTGACTGGATGATCTGCTGAACTGTAAAGTGCCTTGAGATGACATTTTGTAAATTGGCTCTATAGAAATAAATTGAATTAAACAGCAAAACATCTTATAACTCTACTTACAATAACTATCTGATGATATAAACTAAAGGTCACCAATCCGTTCTACGTCTAAACATCTTTAGATGAACCCTTGTTAATCCCTGGAGAATCACCAAACCAATTGTTTTCAATCATTCTGTTTAATTTAATCTGGTCCTATTTCCTCATTCCAGCTGCAGCCAATGGTCTGTCTTAGTTTTTGTTGATTAGCTTGGTTTATGTTATATTTCCGATCCTCATCCTTAGTAGAACAAACACATAAAAACCCTTTTTTATTAACCTGGGCTGTGGTCACCGTAATTTACGATGTTCTACTGGAGAAGATTTAACTTCTAATAGTTAAAGTCAGAGTTTTGTAGCAACTCAACATTAGCATGCTTTTCCAATTTAGTTTGGCCTCTTCTTTTATTATTTGATCTTACCATGAATCGGAAACTGCTGTAAACTGTGTCGTCATGCCACGATGAAGCCGATTATAAATTAAATGAATTGTGTTTTGTTATTGTTGCAAACAAAAAACATGATTTGTACACAGAAATAAAAAAAAAATCAATTAGAAATATAACTGATAAGCGAAAGTAGGTCTGAATGTAACTTTGCTGATTTTGTAAGACTTTTGTTTGGATTTTCTTTTTCAATTTCAAATGATACTTTTTCCCCTTAACTTCTGGAAGAAGGATTTCATCTGGAATAAGTATTTCTAGCAGTCTGCATGCACGCTGGTTTTGTGTTGGGCTTGAAGTGAAGAGAATGTGATCTTTAAAACGCATTCTCAAAAGAACGAAATCCATAAAACTCAATCTGAAAAGAAAAAGAAAATATAAAATCTTTAAAGACAGACTTGAAAAAAAGTTTTATTTCTGGATTGTTTGGTTTGTTTGTTTTTTTAATTTCAGTAACTAAACATGTTTTGCTCGCAACAATAATGGAACAAAATTCACTCCATAATTTTCCATAAAGTGCAGAATGGATTTCCCTTCTTTGTCGAGCTAAATGTCCTTGTTCATCATATTCAGGCCAGAGGAGAACAAGATTAACGTCTGAACACTATTTTTACTGTCAAAAGCATGGTGGTGGCAGCATTGTAATGCGGGGCGATTTAACCATCAATGATACCGATGCATTGCATTTAGTGCTATCTTTTTTTTGTTGGGATATTGTGTGCAGAAGACAGCCCTCAGCTTTTACTGTTTACCGTAGAAAAGGGTCAGGGGTTGTTCTCAGACTTCTACCATTTCACAAGCACAGCACTTCTATAAATTTACAGTTTTTTACAATTGCCATGACAGATTTTTCAATACTTTTAACAATTTTCCAAAACTCTTAACACAGTTAGCTCTACATCGACAAATTGAATTTTTTTATTTTTCTGGTTTTCCAGAGTATTTCTAAATAAATAAAGTAAAGTAAAAGTAAAGTATTTACGTATACTGCAGCAATTCTGTCTCTGTCTTTTGTTTCATAAAATGTAAATTCTATAAAGCTACTTTCTGCAGCAAACGAAACAAAATGCATGTGCAAAACAGAGGTGTGTCCTTGTACAGTTACTGTTTATGGTATAAGGGCACGCCTAACACATCTAAAAGAATGCAGTTTCTGTAATTTCAGCTGATGATAGTGGGGTTTTTTTTGTCATTGTGTTATGATTGATTAAATGTTCATGTTAGAAGAGAACACATGTCAGTGTTTTGATTAATTATATGATTTTGAAACATGTTTGCAGTGTTTTGTTAGACATGGTGTGTCGTGTTAGTATAATATTGTATTTTGAAAATTAGTTTTGGAGTTTAGTTTACAATGTGTGAATTTGAACATGAAATTAACCGTTTCGCCAATTGTGTGTTTTAGGTGTGTTGGTGCGTTAACAGTTTAGCAAACCCATTAAATGTATTGAAAACTGTGTCACAGCGATTTTAACAAACTGTAATTTGGAGTGAGCAGGAAAAAAATGATGACACTTGTCGGACTGTAGTTCAACTTAGCTAATTAAAAAAGTTTATTTTTAACCTGTTTAAAGGAATAGTACACCCAAAACATGATTAGCCTTCATTTTCTACTCACCCCCATGCTGAACAACACTCTGGAGTACTTTTTTGATATCTCAAATGCATCTGGAGATCTGGGAGGCTTCTTGCTGTCTGCTGACATTCAAATAATGGAGGTCTATGGTGACCGAGACAGAAAGGTCCATAAAAGTCCACAAAATACGTGTCAATATTCCTCCATACTGCTCGTCCAATGTACTCCAAGTGTCCTGAGTGGGTAGCGTCCATAATTTACTCGAAACGAAGTCATTTAGAATGTTTTTAGAGCATAAACAGTAGTGTATAGGATTTCCTGAAACCGCGTTCACTGCGCTACGGAAACCGCGGCAGACCAAACCAACGCATTCAGCTCGGCAAAGAACGCATGCTCTTCCTCAACACTGAAGTCCTCAGACATTTTTCTTTCGTTGTTTCTTTCTTTGCACAGGTAAACAGCACATTTCTTCTTCTACGCTTGCATTATTGTAGAGCAGATGCTGAATGCGCACTTTCATCTGGTTTGGTCTGCCGGCTTCCGTAGACTCGTGAACGCACTTTTAGGAAATCCTATACACTACTGTTTATGCTCTAAAAACATTCTAAATGACTTCGTTTCGAGTAAATTCTGGATGCTACCCACTCAGGACACTTGGAATACATTGGACGAGCAGTATGGAGGAATATTGACACGTTTTTTGTGGACTTTTAAGGACCTTTCTGCCTCGGTCACCATAGACCTCCATTATTTGAATGTCAGCAGACAGCAAGAAGCCTCCCAGATCTCCAGATGCATTTGAGATATCAAAAAAGTACTCCAGAGTGTTGTTCAGCATGGGGGTGAGTAGAAAATGAAGGCTAATCATGTTTTGGGTGTACTATTCCTTTAATTGAAATACTGGTGTCAAATACAGTAGTACTACTGGAAGTAGTTTAGCTTGCAGTAGTGCAGTAGTCTACGGCTTGCAGTAATACTACTGTATTTTTTTACATCCAAATAAATATGTTTCACACAACATCTGTTGTTAAATCCCTAAAATCTGTTAACTGTTCCTCCTATCATCCCTGTCCCTTTCTTTATTCTGTCTTGCCTCCACAAACCACCTACTCACTCTAATTGATTTAGGTCTACCTCCTGAGGGGGCGACAGCGTGGGCGTATGTACACTTTTTTTTGAGTGTGTGGCGGAAGGGGGGGCTCCTTCCACCTTCATTTGCAATTCAGCTCATGGAAAACTGTGCAGAGGTGGGATCTGTCAGAGCTACAATGCGCAATGCCTCTATTCCCCCCCCCCCCCAAAAAAAGACAAAAGAGCTCACATACAGGCAATGTGTCAGATTGTTCTGCCTGCAAATGAGAGGAGGCAAACTCTCCTGGCTGCTAAAGGACTGCAGAGGCTGAAGGAGTGACACATGGAGGGGGGGAGGCAAAGACACAGAGGGGGGGTTTACCTGGCGTCTGCTTCGCTGTAGTACTCCCTTGCCACGATGTCTTCAAAGAGTTCCCCTCCTGTCACCCTGAGAAATATAAAAGATGGAGTTTGAAATTGCACACATCTGTTTCACTCAACGTGCTTTTAAAAGACACACACGCGCGGATAGGAGGGGGATGTCCTCATTAGGGGGAAACCCCGGCTGCAGGATTCTCTCTGACAGTGTTGCCATGGAGACTGGCTCCAGTGCGGGGGAGTTGTGGCTGCGTGTGTGTGTGCGTGTGTGTGCGAACACTAAAGCGGGATCCGCAAGCAGGGAGGGGAGGGTGGGTCTGTGCGGTTATGTAACGGCGGGGAACTGCTTCAGAAGCAAGGAGAGGATGAGGAGAGAAGGAGAAGGAATGCAGGGATGCGGATGTGAAGTAAGGAAGGGAAGTTTGGAGGAGACAGATGCAGGAGAGACTGAAGGGTGTGTGTGTGTGAAATCGGAGGCAGGATTTAGAGAGGAAGGAAAAGATACAGTAGAGGAGAAACTTACAGGTCAAAGACGAGGTAATGGAAGCCTTCCTCTGAAATACTGTCATGAAGACGGACTGTAAGAGAGGAATCAAGATCCCTTTTAATAGGATTAGGCACAAATTTTAAAGCAAACACTTAAAAAAAAAATCTCCAAATGACCATGGAGCTGCACAGAGCACGCTCAGAGGTTTCAGTCTGCAGAAAAGCCGACGGATGCCTCTGAGGTCAGGCCGACACGTTCCCTGTTTCTATCAAATCCTCGAGCAGCTGTGAGATGTCACACGCTGACACATACAAACCCCAAATGTGTCGGCTCTGTCATAACCACGTGCTCGTGCTTGTTGCAGCCTGATCATCTAAGTCCGATGCAGATGGACGAGCTGCCTGCAGCATTTCTGCAGTCTTAACTGGCGGTTCCAGCAGATGCAAGGTTTTCCTTTGGATTTGTTCTATTTAATAAACACTGACATGATATAATCAGTATAATCAATCCAAACAGCAATACCAATGTATAAAAAATAACATAAGGTAAGGACTGACTGCTCTGGCAGTGAGGTAGTTGTTTTATTGGCCTGATATCAGAAAGCATCTCTGCATCACCTTCTTTTAGCAGGTGGTGCTCCATAGTGCATCGTCTCAGAGCAACAAGCCTGTACTTTACAAGTCCTGTACATTTCATGGGGAGTGATAAAATGGTGGAGCACTTAAAAACAACCTCAGGGGATTGCTGAGCTACCTACGCTCCATGTAATTAGAAAAACAAATATAAAAGTAAAGTAACTTCTTTTGTATATATCCTTGGACTACATTTGCTGTCCAAGCAGACTGCTTACGTAAGGGGAGCTTTTGTCGCCAGATGTCATTGATAAGCTGATTAAATACTAATGGTATTTAGTTCAACAGAGTAATGCTGAAACTGATAGTGGAGGTAAGGAAACCTCAATTCTATTCAGTTTATTTCTATAGTGCCAATTCACAACACATGTCATCTCAAGACACTGCATCGACTGATTCAGCAATCCGTCACACTAAGCATGCTTGTAGCGACAGTGGAGAGGAAAAACTCCCTTTTAACAGGAAGAAACCTCCAGCAGAACCAGGCTCAGTGTGAGCGGCCATCTGCAGAGGCCGACTGGGGTTCAAGGAGACAGAAGCAGAGATACAAAAGGAACTGTAAAAGGCGACCCCTCTAATATCATCAGCTAAATTCTGTAGGTTGTAATCAAATACTGTTGAAGTCTAACATCTAGTATCTCTGCAAACAGCATAGGAATATTTGCCGAGTACTAAGAGCGGAAATCAGGTTTTTCACATTTTCAGCACCATCAAATGATCATAAAATAACAAGACTGCAAGGTCCATAACTTTTTTAGATGATTTGCCAAAACAAACCCTTAAAAACAACAAATAATTAATTAATAATGAAAATATAAAGAATTTATTTTTTAAATAAAAAAATTTTTACTACTTTTTTAAGATGTAAAAGCTTCTCAAAAGCCCCAGATATTGAGAGTTAAAGGGTGAGATTCAGTTAATGCTTGGCTCTTGCCAACCACGGCTACTAAAATCAAACAAAAAGCAATAAAAAGAGTTTATAAATAATATTTGAGATTGGAACCCAGTCTCTATCAAACATTGTTTCCATCCTCCACTTATTTCAACCTTGAAATAAACAGCAGCTGTCGTTGATCTTTGATCGTATTCATCTTATTATGTTGGAGTTGGTTTGTTTTTAAAGAGCCAAGCTTCTAGGTGGCCGTGATATGAAAGAGATATAAAAAAAAAAAAAGGCTTACCGATGTTGGGATGTTTGAGCAATCTGCAGATCCGGGCCTCTCTCTCCAGCTTCTGATGGTCTACAGGAGCATTTACCAGAACACGGGCAGTGGATTAAAATCAGTGGCGTTCAAATTACAGTAATCATGTACACTCTCTGAAGGGTTTCTGTTCTGTGACGGTTGGATGTTATGAATGTTTCAAGTAGCAAATCTAAGCTTAGAACAGTATAAGAGAAACAGTAGAAAGAAGAGAGAAAACCAACAGACTAGAGAAAATGAAAGGAAAATTAAGTTTTTAAAACTAATCATAATAAGTGAACTTTATTGATCTCACATTGGAGAAATTTACCTCTGCATTTAACACATCCCCCTTGGAAGGCAGTAGGCTGCCATCATGGGACGCCTGGAGAGCAGTATGGGGTTAAGGGTCAGACTGTCAGTCTGTAGGAGTGGGACTCGAACTCAGAACCTCAGGATTCCCAGCTCTATGCCCTAACCACTAGGCCTCCAATTATGAGTATTAAAGTCGTAGGGAAGCAGCTGTTCCAACCGTTGCATTTCTGAATTCTCCCGAGTGGTGCACGACTTTACACAAGTGAATAAAGTGAATGTGATTGGTCGTTTATCAAGGGGGCGGGATTGTTGTGGTGGAAGGTTCGCAAGCAAGTTTCGTTGTGGCCGGTTTGTCGGAAGCATCTTGCTAACCAGTTAGCAACTTAGTGCTACTTGGTCCCAATGGGAAATTCCTTTGGGACCAAGTAGCACTAAATTGGTGACTTAGAAACGACACTGTCAAGGAACGCTATGGACAGAGGAAACATGCAAGAGGAGGAGAAATTAGAGTCGGAGGTCGTGCATGAGTCTCCTCCGTCATACATTTTTTATTCAGAGGAGGAAAGCGGGGATGAAGATGTTGTGGAAGAGGACGCCAGGGCAGCAGAAGCTTGGTTTGGTGTAGAAGGCTTCCAGCCGTACATGTTTGAGCCCTTGCCTCGCAACGCTGCCAGTTCTGTTAGCTCTACGCCTGCTGAAGACACAGACGTCCATCCCCGTGAACACTGGGACGCAACTCAATGGGAAAGGAAATTATTCTGATTTCTTATTCCAACCGTTGTATATATATTGGCTGCGACATATGAATCAAGATGCTATGACCGAAAAAATTTGATTGACAGATGACCGTTGATATATGATTGGTGGAATTTAGGTGTTCAGGCTGAAGTATAACTAACTGGCCTGCATAAGATAATGGAAAAAACACAGATTTTAAGACAGGATATTTTTTAAATAGAAATTTTCTTACTTTTGGGACAATATCATCTGATAAAGAGTACATTTATATACATGTTTAAGCCAGAATGATTTTACATTTACACATGATTTCCCTACAACTTTATAAGAAAATGCAGAGAAATTCAGATAGGGGGGTTGATTGGGAAAATGTCTCTCAGCTAGAAGATCCAAGGTTTGATCTTTGAAAACTGTTATTTATATACAAAACTTTCCGTCTGTGGTCCTCCCAGCTCTTTTTTTTTTTACCCTAGAATCGATCAACAGTAATAACAACATCCTCTAAAGAGACAATTCTTCCTAATCTGAGCAAGGCGGAGGAAAAGTAACAGAGATCAGCGCTGAGGCTGATGCCAGATAACAAGCTGTCTCAGAATAAAAAATGACTTAGGATCATATTTTGATAAAAGCTGGGTACAACCCCTGCAAGGGGTGTCCCCTTCCTTACAAGATGTCAGTAGAGCAATGTTTTTTTTTCTGCACAGGCCATATATGATTGCAATAGCAAGAGTCAAGTCTTAATTGTAAGTTTGCTGCAGCTTTTAATGAGCTTTGTTATCCATTATCAAACCCAGTCCTGGGATGAATAACCGATTTAGACATTGTGTGTCATTGTTTTCCCATTTTAATTGCTTTTCTGCAGCCTTAAAAAAAATCTTACAAAGGTTCTTCCAAAATGTTTTCTTCTTCAACTATTGTGACATTTGAGGGGGATCAAATAATTTAGACAGGGGCCAACAGGGGTCAACAGTGCCCCTATAGAATTGATCATGTCCCCTTTTATGGCCCTTGTTCCAAAGACATAAAACAAAATAAATCCATGATAGATAAATAATTAGTCGGAACAGAAACAACACATGATAGGTTCCTTCAACCAATTACATTTTTTGTTTTTACAATGTTCTTAAAAACAACCCTATAAGCTTAAAGCATGAGTCATATTGAGATAGGATCTCAGTTTTCAGCTGTTGGATCTGACGTTTCCAGAGCTGAATCAATAAAAAAATTTAATAAAAAAGAGGGAGTGTTGGCCTAGTGGTTATAGAGCAGTGCGCTTGTGCTCTGAGAAGGTTGAAAGTACCTGTGCACCTGGGTCCCTGAGCAAGACCCTTAACCCCACACTTCTCCCCAATAGGATGGGTTAAATACAGAGGTACATTTCTCCAATGTGAGATCAATTAGTTTCAATTTAAATAAAAAAAGAAAAGTGCTCTTTGGTTCACTTTATATATCAAACAATGAACTTTTGTTATTGTTTTAAGCATTTTGTTCAATGCCCCTGTTAACAAACACTGGCCCCATCCAGGCCCTCTGGTAAATTTGGTCTAGGACTGCCACTCATAACTATTATGTTATAATAATATGTTAGAAAAACATTCTATAACTAATGGAGAAAATAAAAAAAAATAAAAATAAAACCAGGAAATAAAAGAACAAACTTGGCAGACAAAAAAGAGGGGAAAATAGGGTCAGAAAGGAGGGAATTAAAAAGGACAGAAAAGAAATAAAACAGGACAGCAAATATAAAACAAATTCATCTGTAAATCAGAGCAGAAAAGAAAGAGAAAAGAGGTGACAGAGTTAAACGTTGGAGATATTTTAGGAAGAAAACAAAAAAAACCTGAAAGAAAGGCATGAAATAAACAAGATCAAAATACAAACTAATACCAACTGTAAATCCAATATGGAGAGAATTTTGTTCCTTTATAGTTGCAAGCAAACAACATATCTTAAGATAAATATAATAAAGAATATATATATAATTGAAAAAATATAACAAACAACAAAGGTACTGTTATAACTTTTTATGCTAATTAGAAATTTAACAAAGTTTCATTTCCATATTGCTTTGTTTTGGTCATTAACTTTTATAGAACGTGTTCTTTGCTTGTTAGAACAATAATGGAACGAAATTCACTCCATGAGTGAATTTCTGAAAAACCAGGAAGTGAGAAATAGAAATGGAAAATCCTGAGGAAATGTGAGTTATATCTAAAAATCCGCTTCTAGCTGAGTGACAGCTGCTCCTTCCCTGCAGTCCAAACGCACAGCTGCTCCAACCATGACATGCAAAACGATGAAACTCTTCCTCCTCCCAGAGCAGAAGGAAGGACGGAGAGCAGCTGTTGTATTTTTAATAAAGGTGCCATGTTATAGACTTCAGCGCAGTCTCACCCCATCATGTCTGTTCTGAGTGATAATAACACCAACGCTGCTATTTTCAGACGTTCTCTGAGGCGTTTGCTCATTATTTGATCAGTATAGAAAAAAAAATGAGCAGGAGAAGAAAGAAACAGATGTTGCTTCGTCATAGATGGACTGACAGGGACGGAATTACATCTTAAAGCAAATGAAGAAGAAAGAAAGTGATTAAATGAAACTCTGCTTTCTTCTCAGGTCATACAGTGGTTTGAAAATAGCACATTTCAAACAGAAACTTACAGGTGCTGGTCATAAAATTAGAATATCATGAAAAAGTAGATTGATTTCAGTAATTCCATTTAAAAAGTGAAACTTGTATATTATATTCATACATTACATACAAACTCATATATTTCAGATGTTTATTTTGTTTAATTTTGATGATTACAAATGACAACAAATGAAAATCCCAAATTCATCATATCAGAAAATTAGAATATTACTGAAGACCAATAAAAACAAAGGATTTATAGAAATGTTGGCCAACTGAAAAGTATGAACATGAAAAGTATGAGCATGTACAGCACTCAGTATTTAGTTGGGCCTCCTTTGGCCTGTATTACTGCAGCAATGCGGCGTGGCATGGAGTCGATCAGTCTGTGGCACTGCTCAGGTGTTATGATAGCCCAGGTTGCTCTAATAGTGGCTTTTAGCTCTTCTGAATTGTTGGGTCTGGTGTATTGCATCTTCTTCTTCACAATACCCCATAGATTTTCTATGGGGTTAAGGTCAGGAGAGTTTGCTGGCCAATTAAGAACAGGGATACCATGGTCCTTCAACCAGGTACTGGTAGCTTTGGCACTGTGTGCAGGTGCCAAGTCCTGTTGGAAAATGAAATCTGCATCTCCAAAAAGTTGGTCAGCTGCAGGAAGCATGAAGTGCTCTAAAACTTCCTGGTATGTGGCTGCGTTGACCCTGGACCTCAGAAAACACAATGGACCAACACCAGCAGATGACATGGCACCCCAAACCATCACTGACTGTGGAAACTTTACACTGGACTTCAAGCAACGTGGATGAAGTGCCTCTCTTCTTTTCCTCCAGACTCTGGGACCTTGATTTCCAAAGGAAATGCAAAATTTACTTTCATCAGAGAACATGACTTTGGACCACTCACCAGCAGTCCAGTCCTGTTTCTCTTTAGCCCAGCCAAGACGCTTCTGACGCTGTCTGTGGTTCAAGAGTGGCTTGACACAAGGAATGCGACAGCAGAAACCCATGTCTTTCATACGTCTGTGTGTGGTGGTTCTTGAAGCACTCACTCCAGCTGCAGTCCACTCTTTGTGAATCTCCCCCACATTTTTGAAGGGGTTTTGTTTCACAATCCTCTCCAGGGTGCGGTTATCTCTCTTGCTTGTACACTTTTTTCGACCACATCTTTTCCTTCCCTTCGCCTCTCTATTAATGTGCTTGGACACTGAGCTCTGTGAACAGCCAGCCTCTTTAGCGATGACCTTTTGTGTCTTGCCCTCCTTGTGCAAGGTGTCGATGGTCGTCTTTTGGACAACTGTCAAGTCAGCAGTCTTCCCCATGATTGTGTAGCCTATAGAACTAGACTGAAAGACCATTTAAAGGCTTTTGCAGGTGGTTTGAGTTAATTAGCTGATTAGAGTGTGGCACCAGGGGCCATCAATTTTGAACCTTTTCACAATATTCTAATTTTCTGATATGATGAATTTGAGATTTTCATTTGTTGTCATTTGTAATCATCAAAATTAAACAAAATAAACATCTGAAATATATGAGTTTGTATGTAATGTATGAATATAATATACAAGTTTCACTTTTTAAATGGAATTACTGAAATCAATCTACTTTTTCATGATATTCTAATTTTATGACCAGCACCTGTACTTCATGAGTTAGTTTTATAGCAGAATGATAGATAGACCCGTTTCAGGATGGGTTATATTCCATTTTTAAAGGGGCAATAGAATGCGACACTGAGTTTCCATTGTCATAGATGAATAACGATATCCCACCACGCCTCCTTTCTTACCATAAAACGGGCGAATTCAAATGAAGCACCGAGTTGACGTAAACTCGGGGATGTTGCCTTATTTGGTTCTGGCCTGTACTTTTGTCACGCCCTGAAATTGACATACAGACCAGCCCACTGGTTCACTGACCCAAAGAACATGAATAGAGGTAGATGTAAGACACCAGTTTAGCTGTTTAGTTTACATTTGGGTTTACTTCTACAGAAATTACAAAGCAGGCAGTTTCTCTATTGAAATTTAGCAGAACCACGGGCGTAAATGCAGAGTTCCAGGCTGCAGGGAGAAAGGGGACATTTTTCTTGTCTTCCCGAGGATCCGAGGACACGACAGGCATGGATTATTTTTGTCTATCAGAAGATCCCTGCAAGGTTTGATGCTCAGCTGGTCATTTGCTCTAAGCATTTTACTGAAGACAGCTTTCAAAGTCTTTTTTTTTTTGGTTGACTGCTGGGCTGCTGACTGGACCAGACCTGAGCAGAAAGCAATGAGCCGCCCATCCTCAGCCAGAGGAGGGGGGCTGGTAAGGCAGGCAGGGGGAAGCAAGGGGCTGCCGGTGTCCAGGCTACCGTCACCGGGTCGGGTTCGGTCACTCCGTCCCCCGCTGGCTCCCTTCCGCCCCGGTTCCCAGACCAGCCCAGGAGCTGACGGCTCAGTTCCAGTGCCCAGTGTGTTTCAATTACATGCTGCACTGTAGTCAACCTAAATCCCGTATGATTTTGAAATTCCCCCCGGACATTTTTTTAGGTTTGAAAAGTAGGACATGTCTGGGAAAAAGAGGAAGTCTGGTCACCCTACCATATCAACAATTTGATGTTTTAGTGAGTGAGTGCTTGTTGCTATGATGCGTCTTTGCTCAGCAGCTTCACTTGTTGTAAACCAACCAATCAGCACACAGCTCAGCTAGATATTCATAAAAGGAAGTAAACCTGTCGTTTCATTCTGGGCTTTTACCCAGGCTTGCATTAGGGCTCATAGAACAGCAAATATGCCATTTTCAACCCAACCAATGTTACACACCCTATTCAGAGACCTTAAGGACCAAATACCCTATAGAATCATTCTATGACCCCTTTAAAGGTTTAGCTGCTGTTTAGAACTCAGCTTTAGATTGGTAATGAAGCCATCATTTGCTGCTTTCTGAAGAACAGACTCTACAATTTCTACAAGCTGTCAACAAACAAGCGCTAGAATATGCTAATGCCTGCTTTTAGATCCAGGACACACATAATGATGATGAGATGCTGCTTCTTCTGCATATTTGCTGTGTATCTTATAACGCCTCGTGATTCCCTTTTTTTCCTCACCTCTGGCAGAGAGCTTTTTGGTGTTGATGATTTTGGCGGCGTACTCTTGGCCCGTGCAGAGTTTGACACAGCGACGCACCACAGAGAAGGCCCCCCTGGGAGACAAGAGACAGCACAAAAAAGGAGGAAGAAGATGGGTCAGCTGTCGTAAAAGCTTTGTCAGCATCAAAACGGGCATCTCAGCTATCGGACACTGACCTATCTGGCCTCAGCCGATAGCAACAGATATGTGAAGGATTTTAAAACACTTTAAGACAGAGATTAAGTGCTATTTCCCTCCTCTCTCCCCTCGGTGGACTGGTTACCAACCCAAATGTTGGTTAAATTCACAAGGCTTGCCTGAAACAAAATTCATCCCGGACTCACTTTCCTCTTTTATTCTCATGGTATCACTCTGCTCAAATCCACCTCACTCTTAATCATTAATTTGGGGTGGAGCTAGAGGAGGGCATGGATGACCCGACCAAATCATTTGCCATTGAAATGTAGAAGATGTTCAATTCCATTTAATTCAGTTTATTCACATCACATGTCATCTCAAGGCACTTTACAATTCAACCAGATCATCCAGTCAGATTGATTCAAAGTTTTCTACCTAAGGAAAACCAGTTGATGCATCGACTCATTGACTAGAATGCAATCCCTCACACCAAGCATGCTTGTAGCGACAGTGGAGAGGAAAAACTCCCTTTTAACACGAAGAAACCTCCATCAGAACCAGATTCAGTGTGAGCGGTCATCTGCAGAGGCCGACTGGTGTTCAAGGAGACGGAAGCAGAGATACAAAAAGCAGCTGTAAAACGCGGCCCGGTTCCAGGAAACACAGCCTTGCAGACGAGCCCTGAAGGCTGATTTATACTTCGAAACCAGGTCGACTGCGTGTGTCGCAGTGAACACAGAGATGTCTCCGCCCCCTCCGTAGTCACCCGCTCTACACTATCCGTGTTTCCTTTTTGGTACCTTACAGATTTGTTTGGTTTTTATGATCGTCATTATGGAAAACAACTCTTGAAGTTGGACCAGCTAGAAGAGCGAGGTGCTCGAGAAACCTGGGACCCTTTTTCCACCTGGATCCCCGCTCTTTTTCGCCCTCATGTTCCCACTGCGACACACTGCTGTGGGAGGATAACCAGCCCTTTTGTTCCCACAGAGCAAAAAGTGGTTGAAAAGAAACTGAAAAGACGACACGATTTACGTCCAAATGACGTCTACATTCGGTCAAACAGTGGAAGGTGAAAAGACGTAATTTTAAGATTGTCGATGAAAAGACATCGAAAACTGGGTTTGCAATGTCTTTTCAACGTCTGTTATTGGACTAAAGTGGGACAAAATCAGACAGACCTGATTAAGCCTTAAAACTAACATCTACATGACATCTGGTCTAGTGGGGGTTGTCAACCAAATCAGAAGATGCTGCTGCCCCCTCCACCATTTACCTGTCTGTCACTAGAAGACAAGTAAAGAGTCAACTGTAGAGGCAAAATCACAATATGCACCAGGTCCTGAAGACCTGTGCAGAGCAGCTCTGTGGGATTCCACAGCACCTCTTCAGCCTTAGTCTGACCCAGGAGATGGTTCCATCAGACATGGGCAATGTGGAGTCAACAATTCATCTCCATGTCATGTATTTGTTCTACCCAGCCACTGAAGCAGGTGAGTCCAATCTTCACCGTGAATTAACCTGTGCAAATTGGACTCACCTGGTTAATTGGCTGGGTAGATTAAATACATGACATGGAGATGACTTGTTGACTCCACATTGCCCATGTCTGGGTTCCATTGATGTGGAAGACCTCCTGCCTTGTTCCACTACCAAAGAAGAATCAACGCAACACTCCTCTGTGACTATAGACCAGTTGGCATGATATCCCACATCATGAAGGTCCTAGAGAGATTTCTATTGGTTCACCTAAGTAAAAAAAAAAGCAGCTATCAGCATCCCCTGCAGTTTGCTTATTGCTGTGGAGTTGGGGTTGAATATGTCATCGTACGAATGCTTCAGCAAATCCACTGTCATTTTAGACGAGGCAGACAGCACTGCGAGGATCATGTTTTCTGATTTCTCCAGAACATTTAATGCAATACAACTTTATCAGAAACTCTAGAAGAAGAATCGCCTGGATCAAAGACTACCTGACAAACAGACTACAGTTGGACAATAAGCTGAGTACAGAGAGCTGTCGAACCGCTTTTTGGCATGGTGTGGAAACAACTGATCCTGAGTGTCAACAAAACAAGGGAGATGATTGTAGATTTCAGAAGAAACGGGAACTAGTCAAATGCTATTAATATCATCGGAGAGGAAGTGGAGGTGGTAGAGGAGTATAAATACCTTGGTGTTCACCTGGACAACAAACTGAACAGGAGATGCAACAGTGATGCTGTTTACAAGAACAGTCAGAGCAGCCCAGGGTACCACTTTTGTCATTTAGAGCTGGCTAGCTCAAGTAGTAAGTCATCCATCCTGTAAACAGCAAGCCTGGGTTCATATCCCAGCTGGGAATGAGCTGCCAGTTAGGGGTCCTTAGGCAAGACCCTTCACGCTAATAATTGCGCCTGGAATCCTGAGGTCAGAGTTCAAGCCCCACTCCCATGGACTTCCACTCTGGCTCCTTGAGCAAAAACCCTTAAGCCCAATGGCAGCCCAATGCTCCCAAAGGGGATGGGTTAAATGCAGAGAGTTAATTTCGATGCACTTGCTCTGTACTGTGACAATAAAACGCTGGAAAAAAAAAAAATGAACTGACATGCAGGGTTTGGATTCTAAACTCATCCAATATTGTGCTTGGCTCCAGGTATTAAAGTGACAGGGGTACCCTCTCATCATATTGATAAGCAAGGTACATGACAGCTTATTGAGATTGTATTCGACCCTTTGGCAAAAAAGGGTATTGTGGGTAGCTTTAGGAGTATATGGCAACATGTATACTAGTGTTAGTTTAGGGGTTATGGTTAGGGTAAGGGATAGGTTATTATTACACCACTAATTGACTTTGGAAGGCTTATAAGACATATTTAAGAACTATTGAGCCTTTGACTTTTAGGAATCCAGTATGTGTGGGTTGTGTTTTGTGTGTTTCTCTCCCTCCACCACCGGGTGGAGCCCTGTCCTTGTTGGTCCTCTCACACACCTGCGGCTGGTTGACTCATCACTGAGGACTATTTGAGCCATGGACTGCCACTACCTCGACGCCAGAGTGTTTGCCAGTTTTGGGTACTCTAGCCAAGCTGAGTTTTGCTTAGTCTAACTTAGTCTTTGTTTTTTAAGCTGAGCCTAACCTACTTTTTGTCTTTGCCTTTTAGGTAGAAAGCCTTCCTGCAAGCTGGATGTTTGGCCTTCTCCCCCTGGAAGGATTGTTTGAGTCTCACACTGAGCAGGGGATAAACTTCCATAAGTTCCGTTGAAGTCCTCCTGGATTCCCAAGTGACAGTCCGCTCAATAGCTCCTCTGGGTCTAACTGAGTCTATACCTGTCCGCCCTCCAACGGGTCTCAACCACTAGAAAAACCCACACTGACTGGATTCTGGGAGGAAAGTTTTCTCCACAGTCGTGAGTCCCGTTTTCTCTGTCTCTCCAAGGCATCGTTCAAAGTTCCCAAGGATCCTGAACTAACCACTGATACTTCCCTTCCCTCTTCCAGTTCCGGTTCACCAGTTCACTGTGTTTCCTGAATCCAGCCCCACTGGTTTCATCATTAAACCTGTTCAAACTGTTACCCTCGTTGTCTGAGTGGTTTACCTCATGTGGGTCAGATCTCTTAAGAAAATCATGACATTGACCTTCATATCCATGCATCTCTCTATGAGATCCAAATTGAAGAACCTCTGTAAATCCAAAGCCTAAGCCCAAACGGACAGCCTGTCGGTCCCACAGTGACCCGGGCGTACAGGACAGCGGCAGAACCCAACGATTTACCTGATAAAACAAGGTTTGGTCCAATTTACCATCATCTCCAATTTACTATCTATCCTATTTTAGAGAACAAAATTAAAATAAAAGCCCTTTTGTGAGGATTTTAGGGAACATTATAAGATCCTTCTATCCGCTGACAGATAATTGCCTATAGATGTAAAGTGAAGAACAAAAGTATCTTATTCTCCTACATTATTTATTTTGCCTAATTTAATCAGTAGAGAGTAAAAAAAGAGGCAGTAGACCTTAGATACTTGAATTAGATTTGATAAAACATTAACTTTAATTGAGTCACCAAGCCCCATGGAGTGATATAATGATAACATAAGCACCAAGTTGCACACAGTAAGTTGTAACCAAGACTTAAAGACACAATTACTTTGGTTGTTATTGCTCTTTTAAAGGCTAAACTCTATAAATCAGTTAAAGACTGGCTCAATGAGCACCGCCAGGCACTCAGATGATCCTGTTAGAGCACAGAGAGCAAATGGAAGAAAGACAGACTTCACAGTTCATTGGAGTTTTTGGGGAATTGCTTAACGTACTGTCAGGTCTCTGCTCGTTTTATTCTGATCTGTCATTAGTTGTTAGCCACTGGTTCATTTTAACTCTCTTTTATCTTTCTGAATTCTTGCAACTAATTTTTTCTGGTTTCTTCTTTGTTAATTTCATTTTTATTACATTTTTTTTGACAAACTATGCTCTTCCAGGTCCTTACCCTTTTATTCCACCTCCGATCTGCCATAAACGTCTGTAATTTTTGGTCAGTTTGAACTTGTGTCCTTTTCCCATGTTTCCACGATTTACAAACACCTTATTACCCAGCTGACAGTCGCCCATCCAGACTGCTTAAGGAGGTCTTTAGTGCTGAAGGCAGCTTCATGTTCAAGTTAATCAGCTCCTTCTTTTTTTTTTCCTTAGGTTTTAACACAGCTGCTTGTCAACAAGCTGTGGTGCAGCATTTTCACAAAAATACAGATACATGTGTGGCTCAATCTCTATTTCATCAATTTTACTCTGCAATTGTTGCAAGCAAAGAATAATGTCTTTAACCCCTTGAGGCCTATTGTTGCAAATATGCAACAAACCCTTTTTATTACATGCATAGCCAAGATAGCATATGTTTTCCCTTTACACATTCTTTACACATTCAGTGCGGACCTAGGAACCTATGGAAAGATC